AAGTTCGAAAGATGGCTCGAAGAAAATTCGAAAACAAAAAGAAAAGTCTTTTTTTTTTTATTATTATCAACTTTCGGAGCTCTGATAGCATGCAAAAAGAGAAAGAACGATATGTGTGAGATGTGATACGAAAATTAAACCGTGAGTTGAATCCAATGATGTAAAAATGAGGCGAAATGGAATTATGATGAAAAAGATATAAGGGCTTGAAGTGGTGGTTGCTGGTGATGGTTTGCTGGTAGGAAAGGGTGGGTCTGCATCTTTCTTTTGAAATTTGGAGTCAAATTATAATTTTTTTTAACTTTTTCGTTTCAAATTTGACGGCAAGAACAAAATTAATAATAACTTAAATAGTATAGGAATACACGTGAAAATAAGAGTAATTTGAGAGGTCTTTGAAATTCGGGACAAAATATAAAAGTAAAAATGAAAAAATCTCTAAAGAGTAATATTGTTTTGAGAGAAACAATATCCTCCACTGGTTTTATTTTATTTGCTAATTTAAACAGCTGCCCTCCCCCCACTTGTATACCTATGAAGACTTTCACCAAAGTCGTTGGACTACATTTAATATTCTAATTGGCCACTTCCCACAATTAAAACAATAAAAAAAATAAAATATTATTGTTTTGAAAAAACAACGATCGTCCACCGGTTTTATTTTATTTGTTTAATTTAAACGACTGCCCTCCCCCAGTGTATACCTATGAAGATTTTTACCAAGTCATTGGACTAAATTTAATATTTGGGTTTTGTTAACATGTCATTTCCCACAATTAAATAACATCCATAAAAGATGACAATAAAAAATACTATTGTTTAGATATAGAAATAAATAAATAAAAAGAATGAAAACAACAGCTATATGGTAATACCTGTATGTCGATTGGGAACTCGATTGATTCATTTTCCACCTAGAGAAGTATAAATAAAAAACAAAGTGGTCCCACACCTTGTGACCTTTGCAGAAAGCAGCTTGCAACTTGAATTTTCTTTGTTAGTAATGCAATTCTAATCTTTGAAAAATAATTAAACTGTTAGAATATTTTCAATAAAAATAAATATTTAATTATTTGGTTTTACAAATTTAGTGTGATTTAATATTTCAGTTATAATATTTATGTTCAATATTATTACTAGAATAAATATATTTTATTACAGTGGTTACAAGCTTTACGACAAATTCAATATGTGATTTATATCAAATTAATTGCTGCGTTAATCCGTGTAGTCTACATATATTGCTATGATTTCAAGAGTATAGTGTGGAAAATAACACAACAGTGAAATCTAGAGTTTATTCACATATATACAATATATTGAGATATTAGAAAGTATAAAGAGTTTCTATCATATTTTATATTTTCTGTATTTTGGGCAACTCTAGTTCGTGATTTGGTTCAAACCTCCTGATAGTCGTTAATACTGGCCGAGGGATGCTGTGAGCTAACTGTGTTTTATTTTGAAACTGCTTCATTCCGTTAATACTTTCACGAGAGAAGGAAAAACAATTTTAGAACAGTGACAACACGACTTCCAAACTCTCACATGCTATTGTTCTAATCTCTTATATTTGTTCTATATTTTCTGTCATTATCTTGTGCTAATTATTCTATTTATCATTTTGCTAGATTAACATAAACCAAAAAAAAAGTGAATGTCAAAGCTATCACGAGAATAGACAATGTAACAAATATGAGTATTTGAAGGGTGGTAGTTAAGTATGTGAACCCGAGTGTTGGCTACATATTTTGTAAAAGCCAGTTACAGTTCGACATGTGGCATAGTAAGGGTAATAAAGGAAGGTTATTCAAGCCTTTAATCCTGATCGTACACGTGACAATAAACATTGGTCCTCACATGATCCGAGTAACACTAGATCAAATAAACGGGATGCAAGATGACGTGTCTTCAAACGGTTACTCATATTCAAATCTAAGTACAAGAGGGAAGCTCAACTGCCAGTAATGGCGTAATGGAGCTACTTGTAAGGAAGCATGACCAGCGATCATGGAGGAGCAGTTCGACAGTTCGAAGTGCAGTTCGAAGGTCATCACTGACGAGTATAAATAGCAGGGTAACCCCCAGAAAGAGGGACGGACTCAGACCATACAAACCAGTCATTTACTTCATATATTTTCTTTCCAGTCATTTACATTTCCAGTCCTTAAATACCTGTTCTTTAAATACCTGCACTTTAAATACTCGCACTGCACTTCGATTCATAGGAGTAGCTTCAAGTAGATTCAAGTAGATTGCTGTTGTAAACCTCTCCGAGGCTGAGTTCGGACCATTGTAAGTGTTCATTTTTATGAAATACTTCAATTGTTCTTCATATTACTGTTATTTCTCTTAACGTCTCCTAAGTCAAGCCACCAGTAAAAGTCCTCTTCATTGAGGCTGAAAAGAACTAAAACACAATCGTCTGATAATTGGTTGGCAATTATAATTTCTGTAAGGACTGATTGATCCTTGCTGGCACGCTCACATTCACAAAAATACCCTTCGAAAAGCCAAAAAGCCAACATATATTTTTGGCACGCCCAGTGGGACCTAATTAAAAATGGCTAGAAGAAGACGACAAGGAGAAAATGAACGCTTCGAAGAAGGCGTGGAAGGAGAGGTAGAAATACCAAATCCAGAGGATAATGTGGTAACACATCCTGTGGAAACTCCTATATTGTCAGAACCCATGGTCGAGCAGACCAGTACTTCTGGACAAGAACCATATGTTCATATTACTGGACGAAACCAAGGAATTGGACCATCCACTGTGCCATTTACTCAACCAACAAATCCATGGGATGGTTTAGTGAATGCCATGGGACAACAACTAATGAACACAATGGAAAGGTGGGCAACATCCTTTTTGGATCGAATGAATAACCACCAACCAACAAACACAAGACAAACGGAGGAAGTTGTAAATGTCCCCCAACAAAGATTGGCTAGAGAAAAACAGCCTATGCAAGTTAATGGTCAAACTAGTACCCAAAACTTTGAAAGACCATCACCTCAGTCTTGGTATGAACCCATTTCAAGGCCTATAGCAGGCCAAAATACCTCAGCACTTAATAATGAAGCCACACAAGTTGGTGGATCTGGCCAAATACAAGAAACTGGCATAAGAATGGTTACAAATCCCATGTTCGAAGCCACGCCTGGCACAAGGGGGTACACTAACCCCTTATTCGAATTTACACCCGGGGGGTTGGAGGGTTTTCCTACAAATGGCAGAGACACAACACCGGTTCCAGCACCTTTTGCAGGTCCTTTCGCAGGTCAAGCTCAAAGGGGTTACCCACACCCCCAACAGCAACCTGCACCGCAAGGACAACCAGCCCCAAATTTACCACCTTATGGACCAAGAGGACCACAAGCACAAGTTTGTCCACCAAATCCTGTGTTTGAGGGTTAGATACACT